GTGTCCCCGTCACTATACTGGGGCATTAGTATTGTCATTTTATTCTGCGGCTCCTGGTTCAGCCCAGAAATAAACTTTCTGATGTTGCGTCACTTCTCCACTTGCCGCACGTACAGTAGATGTGTTTATTCCAGTCTTTCTGTCTCAATTCCGCGACGCGCAGACCAGGGCTACACCGGCGCCTCTTCTGCATTCCAGTCCGAAATACGCAGCGGCAGCACAAACGCTGACGGGCTGGTAAAGTGCTAAAAAAAAAATCAATATAACTCAATCGGGGGAAATTCCCGCTGGTGTCAGAAACGGTTCAAAAACCTCCATTTCGACGTGTTTCAAAAGGAAATGCGCCATCAAACGGAAAACACACTTAAACAGCGAATCACTAAAAATACAGACATTTGCTTCACATTTGAAGCCCGCAGCTCGACTTCATTAACATAAACTGTTACACAACATTATTACTATTATCATAACAGTGCTTCTGCAGAATCAACGCGAGCTTCTAAATTTTGCTGTGCAATCAAAAATCCCCCCAAATTGTGATGCTTTTTCAAAAAATGAATTTTAAACTACTTTATAGACATAAACTGGAGTCGCATATTGTGGATTTACAGTGATCCAAGTTAAATATGTCCTTACAAGGGCCTGAAAAATAATACATCTGTAGACTCAGAAATACATTAATATAAACGCATAAAAAGCAATAAATATATTGCTTAATTTATTATTTCAAAGTATCATTTAGTATAGGAGTGTCATATTCAAACCCTCCAATTAAAGACGAGATGAATCTGAGGCCGGGCTTGTTGACAACATAGACGTGAATACTGATCTCTTAATTTGTAGTTTTATTTTAATTTACTTGCATGTCCAAAATAAAACCGTGATATATTTAAAAATAAAACCGTGGTGTTGTTCCATCACCAACAGGAAGGCATGAGAAGCCATTCAGAAGCCGTAAACTTGACGACTGACGGGCGAGCCGCAACGCAGTACACGCGCTGTAAGCAATCACAGCGCGCAGGGGTGTCTTCTGGCTCCTTCTCTTGCGGTGTTCTTACTGACGCCACTAACCGCCTCTCTTCGGAGGCCGCGGGTCCGAGGAGGAGCAGGTGACGGCTCAGGCGAAGGAGGAGGCTCAGAGGAAGACAGGAGGGCGGCGGTCGGGGGGCGGGTGGAAGATGTGGGAGAGCCCTGTCTTGCGTTCGCACCGCCGGCGCCCCGGGGAGGCCGCAGGTACACGCAGAGGACCATTCGCCTTGTTTCCCCCGCGCAGCGTCACCCGGTGGCCTCGGCCTGGGCGGGCTCCACCCGAGCCGGGCCCTCGCTTCGGGGGAGAAGCCCCAGCGCTGCAGCCGTTCATTTGATTGCATTTTTGTTTTTTGTTTGTTAAAAAAAGAAAATCGACGGGCGGTTCGTCATCGGGTTGTCGGTTTCAGTCGCCCCGCCGTGCCTGACTGTGAACGGCGTAGCCCAACGCGTGGAACGGGACCAGTATACTGGTGTTCGGGTGTGGCTGTCGTGCAGTCGCCGGCCCGGCCCGGCCGCTGGGCTCTCTCTCTCTCTCTCGCCGGTGACGGGGGGAAATTTCCTCCTCGCCCTGGGTTTCGGAGAAGTGACTCATTCCGAGAGCTGCGTTCAGAAACGCGTGCCGTGCAGAGGACTCTCGCACCCAACGCCGGGTTTACTCGTCAGATTGAGCCATACTGGTTCCACAGATGACTGGAGACCCAGCCCCCGGAGTGCACTAATTGCATTCACCACATCATAGTACCTTAATCCACAGATTGCATCAGACTCTCCAGATCACACGCTAGATATTCACCACATCATGACCACTCTGTTCCTCTTCTTACTCTGAATCTGTTTCCCATATTGCACCACTCTTAATCTCCTTATTCGCTCCACTCCTGGTTCCGAGCTCAGACCCCTTCCCTCAGCTTCCGGACAGCAGGTCCCAGAACCCCCCGCGGCCGACAGCCTCCTCCTCCCAGCAGCGCGGACACGCATGGAGCTCGCAGGGGTCGCGAGAGCGCCGTGGTGTGATTATAAAGAGTCCGGCGAAGAGACAAAGACGGTCGCTCCCTGTACAGAGCGAAGTGTGGGGCTGTGGACTGACCACAGAACGCGAGGAATGTCGCTCAGAAATCACTTTTCACCGGGGACACCGGCATCCTAAACTGCCTGGCTTCTCCTCCTGGCCGGCGGACGAGGAGCCCCGAACCCTGCTCAGGAGCAGGAGGCTTGAGACAACTGCCACGGGAGGCGTTTGAGTTCGGCTGGTATCCTAATGATGGCGATGACGTGCAGCTCTGCGAGATTGACCTGGCATTATTATCCCACTCCATTTCAAGACTGTCAACAAAGTGCCTTTGTCGTGTCATCTTTTTCAGACAAGAGAGACGCAGTCCCTGTGTGTGCAGTGCATGTAATACTGTTCTGCAGTGTGTGTGAGACAGAGAGTCACTGCACTGTTAACTCACACTGCTGGACAGAGCTCATGGTTGTGATCACGATCATGAGTGTGAGTGTGTTCCTCTGCCCTCCTGGGCCTCACTGTTCCTGTCTGCCCAGTCCCGCTCTCCCACTACCTGTCTGACTCCCAGCTTTCCCCCTGCAGGACGATGGAGGAAAGATCACCCTATACGATGAGGATTTGTGGAGCTTGTTCGACAACGACACTGAAAACAACACCTACAACAACTCCTGCTGTGAAGACATGGGGGACGTCTGCACCCAGGGGGTCGGCCTCGGGTTCCAGAGGCTCTTCCTGCCGGCGCTGTACTCCGTGGCGCTGGTGCTGGGCGTGCTGGGCAACGGGCTGGTGATCGCGGTGCTGTGCCAGTTCCGCAGGGGCTGGAGCGTCACCGACACCTTCATCCTGAACCTGGCCCTGGCCGACACCCTGCTGGTCGTCACGCTGCCCTTCTGGGCCGCAG